ACACACACACACACACACACACACACACACACCCTCCCTCTGTCTCCCTCATTTTGCCTCCAACTGGGATGCCTCTATAAAGTACGCCCAAACATTTCCCTTGTTCAACCCACGTTCACAAAATTAACTTCCTGTCAGCCTCTCGTAGAGAAAAAATTCTTTGATACTCTTGCTAGACTAGCATCAGTTTCTTTATAATTAGACCCTTGGCCTAGCTCGCTCTGAGTCACTTCCATAAAGCCTGCAGTGGCGGTGGGTAGATGAAAAATAATTAGAGAAGATTACAGGTGAAACGGATTCGTACCCAGCATCCAGAAGAATTTAACATAGAACAACGAGAAAGAAGACAAAGGTGACTCTTCTCGTTTGAATGGTTCTCAAAATGCCGTGGCTCGCCGTGAGTATGGAAAAATCATCACTTTTTTTCTTCTTATTTCTTGCTATTTGGTGGTGCAGAAGTGAAAGCAATCGAAGCCCCACCCAAATTTTACCCCCCCCCCCCCAAATCGCCACTGCTAGCCTGAGACCACACGTAATCTCAAGACCCTCTTTGTTAGGCCCTTTTCCCTGAGAGTATACAGCGCCCATTTAGCTTTTCTCTCAGTTGCTCCTGAGGAAGCCCAAGAGGCGAAACGGTGAGCAGTGTCTATTAAACAAATTTTAAACATTTTATATTGTTATGTTATTTTGTTTGAAGTGCAAACAAGACTCTCCCTCCTACTCTGCTTTCCAAACAGCAATGATGATGATGATGATGATGATGATGATGATGATGATGATGATGATGATGATGATGATGATGATGATGATGATGATGCTAATGCTGATGTTGCCTTACCTTCCCTTGAAAATCTTTGATACCAGGAAAGTCAGGTTTGTACGTCTGTGCGTGATGGCCCGAGCAGACGAGTACGAAGTCGAACACCTCTGTTTTCTCCGCACCGCTCTTGTGATCCCGGCTCTCCACATCCCACTGACCTGTGCGGTCAAAATCTTTGGCCCGCTTGACCAGCACAACCTCCTTGTTGTAATGGATGTACTTGTTCAATCCAAAATGTTGGGCGAAGTCTCGGAAGTATTCTAACACCTGGGAGAGAACGAGAAATTGTTTGTGACTGATTATAATATTTTGCGCCTCAACCAACGCTCCTTAGACCATATACATCTGAGAGAGAGAGAGAGAGAGAGAGAGAGAGAGAGAGAGAGAGAGAGAGAGAGGGAGAGAGTTGAAATCAGTCTATTTTTTTGCCTCAATCAGTTCAATTTAGATTATTTACTTATGAGAGGAAGCGAAAGAATGTAAGCGACTGTTAATACTTTAATTGTCTCAACTTAATCATATTATTTTCAACAACAATCTAGGCTAAATTGTAAAAAAAAACCCTCACACTTTTCTTCCTAATCTTATATAAAATACTATAAATCTCCGTCACGTGTAAAATGGGATTGTTTACAGCATTTCCCGCTTCTCACTCATATTTTTCATACGCATATGCCTTACGTCACATCTCACCAAAGACACTTTTTAGTGGCAAAATTAGTTACAAGAAATAAATTTTATAGTGAACAATTTTTTGCACTAAAGGTTCCCCAAAACATGTGTTCAATGTGCATAAAGTCGTCATTAGAAAAAAAAAAGACGGACTTGCGTTTAAAAGCGATATCATTCCAGTTTAAAATGTGTAGAAACCATCAACTGGATTTTTAAAAAAAAACGTATTTATTAAGGAATTTTCTAGAATACAGCTAACAGGTGTTTACATAATATTGATCTGTTAGGAAAAATTGATACAAGTCATTGTGAAAAAATCTCGAGACTTAATGTTCGATGATTGAGTAGATATATTTTAACAACAACTTGCGTACGAATTTTTGAATGCACTAAAGAATTATATTATAATACTGGAAGTCTATAAAATGAAAAGACCCATTCGAAGGCTAATACATGAAACTAGATCTAGGTAATCTTTGAACCGCTTTCAAACTCGGACAAATAAAATTCAACGGGGGGAGGGGGGGGGGGGGCATCATATTTGCATATTTGTTAGTATAAGATACCAATTGATGTTTTAAAAATTATCTTTAAAAAATCCAATTTAAATTGAGGGGAAACGCAAAACTTTGCTCTGTTTCAAGTAGAGTAGCCACTATCTGTGAATTGAAAAACAAATTTATATAAAATTTAAGATGCCTAATGAGCTCAGGAAGGGTGGTCGTTATTCAAATGCTACGTTCCAAGTGTTGGCCATTTCTTTGGATACGAGCTTCAACACGCCAATGGAATTTTTGAATAACTCTGATGCATGTTTCTGGGTCGATTCTTCTGTCCTCCTGTTCAGTTCAACATTGACTTTTAACGGTATGATTGTTGGTTAATTGTTTCTGTAGGCTCTGTCTGTCAACCCCCCCCCAAAAAACAACAACAACAACAACACAACCCAAACAAACCCACAACAACAAACAAACAAACAAAACCCCCCAAAACAAAACAAAACAACAAACAACTAACAACAACCCAAATTAAATATTTGACCGGGTTCAAGTCAGAGGAAAGCGGCGACCATTCACTTGTCAGCTTTCGGCTTATAAGGCACCCCTCAAACACATTGGCCACGTGTGGGGTGTGGCCCATTCCACTGGAACCATTCCTCTACAGCCACATAACACCTTCCCCTCCCCAACCTACTTATAAACTTTTTTAAACACGGCAAAATGCCCATTTGATGTGACTGTTTTTATTTCACTGTTCTCGTCCTGAAACCAAAGCAGAGTGATCACAGCCCAGTAGCTCTTACGAAGTAAGGTTTTTCCCCCATTGTTTCTCTTTTTAATCCAATTTTGGTTGAAATCTTTAATTTATGTAACTTTTTAAAAATGTTGATTTACTTTTAAAATATTTACAAAGTTGATATCCCCGTGGTTTAGTTTAATTAGTTTGAAATTTTGTTGAAATCAGATCAGAGATTACAGTCTTTACAAATATACGGTTTGAGTTGGCCTGTACGTTATATGCTTCGATCAAGACAAATTGCAGCACCTTCGTGTTGTGCACAAAGTTGGCGTAGTCGGCCGGGAGCGGGTAGTCACTGAAGGCCATCATCTCTTTGCTGGTGTTGATGACTGTTGACCTGTTGACCGAGCCTTGCTCCGGCCACTGGTCGTGTCTCTCCTTGAAGTACCACAGGCCACCCATGATGTCGGTTCTCTCCATACACACCGGCTCCAGACCTAGGATTAATTCACTCTATTAATTTGTTTATTCGAGTAATGTTTCAACGACGCTATCGACACAGTTCTGTCATGGATTTTAATTGGTGTACGTCATAAACTTTTTACACCCTTATCTACATAGTCTAGGTCATTTAGTAGGCCAACTGTTTTGACCCTGCCTAGCTATGTGGATCACAATATTAGTATAGAAAGACTGAAGCGTAGCCATTGTACCACAAACACCGGCGCTGTTGTTGCTGTATAGATTTATCGCCCCTTTCAACACTGTGAAGTTATTCAGCAGGCGGGACCTCTGAATTAAACGGCCATCACAAATAGCACCAAGAAATGAGTGAAAAGCCTTAATGACACAATAATAATAGTTCGACCGTCAATGTTATGATGACGATCAATGCATCTGTAGTGGAGAATATTTCTCGAACAAAGTGAAAGATATGGGTTAAGACGAAACTCTTTAGAAAAATGTACAGTGTGTATTTGTAGCGCTGTTTGGGTATGCCCTGGTGACAATTCAGAATAGAATGCTGCATTTGGGTTTCTGAAGTCAGGCATTCTTACGACATGCCCAGAAGAACGAAGTTGAATTCTTTAGAGCTTAGAAAACACACGCTCGACTTAAGATTTTATTTTGATAACTTCGGTGCCTAGTATTTTGTCTTGCCATTTGATACCAAGAATTCTGCTGAGGCATTTCATGTGGAAACAAACCGAGTTCAAGAACCACGTTTGCGGATTCGAACCACTGCCGTTCGCCCTGTACTCTAGCATGATACCAACTGAGCTACTGGAGCGCCAAACCCGGTGCTCTGTATTTGAAGATACTAGAAGTTAGCATGTCATCTGTATACACCCGGCTAATTACACCCGGGCTGTGCTATTTAAAGATCTGTTTACACCCGGCTATGCTATTTAAAGATCTGTTTACACATGGCTATGCTATTCAAAGGACTATATGTATACGCCCCGGCTATGCTTTTCAAAGATAAGATACGTATACGCCCCGACTATGCTATGCAAAGATCTGTTTACACCCGGCTATGCTATTCAAAGATCTGTATATACCCGGCTATGCTATACAAAGATCTGTTTACACCCGGCTATGCTATTCAAAGATCTGTTTACACCCGGCTATGCTATTCAAAGATCTGTTTACACCCGGCTATGCTATTCAAAGATCTGTTTACACCCGGCTATGCTATTCAAAGATCTGTATATACCCGGCTATGCTATGCAAAGATCTGTATACACATGGCTATGCTATTCAAAGGACTATATGTATACGCCCCGGCTATGCTATTCAAAGATATGTATACACCTGGACTATGCTATTCAAATATCTGTATTCACCTGGGCTATGCTATTGAGAGAGAGAGAGAGAGAGAGAGAGACTGGACACATGTGTTTGGACAGAAAGGTACTACTCACTTTTCCCTGCCTATCAGACTAAGATCTGAGAAGTGTTGCTAAAGCCCACAGTTATTTTAAAAAACTCATTAATAATAATAACAATAATAATAATAATTGCATTCATATAGCTAATTTCCTTGCCCAAGAGCATGCTCTATGCGCTTTACAACTATTATTACCCCAGCACACCCTCTGAGAACACTCAGAAACATTCTCGGCTTCCGCGGAAGCATACAGTGCAAGCTGCGGATTTCACGCGCTCAAACACTATCAAACTGGCAAGATCCTTCACTGTCTATAGCCGGGTACCCATTTCCGCCTTGGTGAAGTGAGGAAAAATTGTGCAAAGTGCCTTTCCCAAA